AAAATTACAAAAATTTGTTTTGGGCTGGAAATACAATTTGCGACGGAATATTTCGTCGTAATTTACATATTTGCGACGGAATTTTCCTTCGCAAAATATAATTTGCGACGGAATTTTCCCTCGCAAAATATAATTTACGACGGAATTTTCCATCGTACAAATATACATTGCGACGGAATTTTCCGTCGTAAATTATATTTTGCGACGGAAAATTCCGTCGAAAATTATATTTTGCGAGGGAATTTTCCGTCGTAAATTGTGTTTTGCGAGGGAACTTTTTCCGTCGCAAATTTGCGACGGAACTTCATCAAAGGACAATTCCAAGTCCGACGATATTATTTCCGTCGTAAATTCTGTCGTAAATTTGGTTTACGACGGAATTTCCGTCGTAAAATGGCCATTTTCCTACAAAGGGTTTTCCGACAACCATTTACGACGGAATTCCGTCGTAAACCAACTTTACGACGGAATTTACATAGTTTACGACGAAATTTTTCCGTCGCAATTAAGGTGTTTTCTAGTAGTGGTATCATGTGGTTTGATCGAAATTATAGAATTATTGAAGAGAAAGAGAAAGAAGAGAGGAAGAAGCAAGAGGGAAAGAAAGAGATTTCCAAATTGGAAAATGAGGTTTTTTGTTTGGAATGGAAATTGGAAATCGATATTATGCAATACTACTATAAAAAAGAAACTCCCACAAAAAAAAAAAAAAAAAAAAAAAAAAAAAGTGGTTATGTCTTTTATTAAAAAAAAAAATTAATTTTTTTTTAAGAAATAAATTTTTTAGGAAAAAGCCACGTGATACTCTAGATTTCTTGTAAATGTTCTTGTTTTGAAATAGTATATAGATTTCACTATTGGCAGCTTCTTTCCAATGAAAAGATTTTGGAGACGACATGGCCTCTTTAAAAGTTTTAGGCTCATCTTCTAACACGAAAGTTAGAAAATCTGGACCAAATGACGTAGATAATCCGAACTTTAATGTGAATTTGCTTCTAATGGTCCTAACCAATTATATAACTTGTTATCACAAGTCACATGACATGTGTCAGCATGTGACTGGTTCAAAAAAATAAAAATAAATTAAATAAAATCTAAAATAAAAGTACAAATTTTTTTAAAAGAATCTTAATTATAAACAAAATAAAACCGGTACCCCAGTCCACCACCCTTCCCAACCAGCCATACCTCCTTTCTTGCCGCCACCGCTGTCGACCAACCTCCCCTACCTCCGACGCCGACTAAGACCCATCCCCGCCCTTTCCCCATCCCCGACCTCCTTTCTCGCCGCGCTACCACCCTACCAAACTCGAATCCCTTAATACCCAATTACCCACCCTCCCTTCTCTATCACGAATAGCTCCCCTCCCCTAAGCTGCGATGCTATGCGTGGATGCTGGTGCGAGAACTGCTAAGCTGCAATGATGATACTTGGTGTTTGTGCGTGGCTAATTTGGTGGTGATTTAGAAGGTGATCGGTGCGTTGGCAGGGAAGCTCGGGCAACGACAATGGCTGTGGGCGTAGGGTAAGGGGGAAAGGGAGGGGTGGGTTGGCTGACGGTGGAAATGGTGAATCTGGGTGTCGGCGTGGCTGGTCACTGGGGCGGGGGATGGCTGGGGTATTGGGGTGGATGCTGGTTGTGGTGGAGATGGTTTAAATGAAAATAAATAATCCCATCTATGCCCGAACTGAAAATAACAAACCCACTGTTTGATATTTACGAGGCAAACCCACCTTTATATGCCATCTTCTTTTAATGAACTTTAACCTGTTGGTGACCAAGTTTAGAAGGTTGTATGCCACGTGTCAAATCTTAATTGGTGAATTTCATTATTTAATAAAAAAAATAGAAAATAAATTTTTTTTAAAAAAAACCCAGCCACCAACTCCGTCCGACCAGCCACCTTGAAACCCCAGCCACCGCCAAAAATCGGCCGGCTGTTTTTGAAGGTTAAAGAAGTTGATGAGGCTGGGATGGAGGTTTTCGGCTGATTTGCGAAGGGTTATAGGAGTTAATTGGGGCTGAGATGGAGGTTTTCGACCATTTTGCGAAGGTTAGAGGGTTAATCAGGGATGTGATGGAGGTTTTCAGCCGTTTTGCGAAGGTTAGAAGGTTAATCGGGGATGGGATGGATGTTTTCGGCCGTTTGTGAAGGTTAGAGGATTTTTTCAGGGCTAGCAGGTGTTTTAAGGGTGGTGGTTATGGTGGTTTCGAGCTGGGGGTAGGATTTGGGTTAGGGGGTGGTTTTAATTCGGGGGTAGGATTTAGGTTAGGGCCCTTAGGGGTGATCAGCGAGGTGGTTGTTTGTATTGGGGGTTAGGGTGGCAGCCGACCGGTTTTTTGGCGGGCCTAGGGTAAGGGCTAGGGTTTCGCGGTGGCTTGAGGGGCGGCTGGTGGGTGGTGGGTTTTTTTTTTGTTTTTTTGTTTTTTTTTTTTGTCTTTAACTTTTTTTATTTGAAGCGACATGTGGCTTAAAAAATAAAAAATAAAACATTTTAACTTGTTTAATAGGTTGTAGGTAAAAAAGTTCATTAAAAGAAGATGACATACAAAGGTGGGTTTGCCTCGTAAATATCAAAAGGGGGGTTTGTTATTTTCAGTTCGGGGAAAGGTAGGATTGTTTATTTCCATTTTTCCTTTTTATTTTTTTACTTATTTTTAAATTTTTTTTTTTATTATTTTTAGAAAAATTTAGTTTTAAAATTGTTAGTTAAAAGTTAATTAGTAATTAGTTATCTTTTCTTTAAAAAATTTATTTTCGACCAATCAATTAATGACACGTGTAAATTAAATTTATATATATATAAAAATTATCTATTCAACAGGCTAAAGGTTACTTGGGACCATTGGAAGAAAATGCACATTAAAGTCCGGATTATTAAAAAATAATCAAAAGTTGGGATTATTTTGGGCGAATTGAGCAAAGTTGGGATTATTCTTGTTAATTTTTCCTATTACTAATTCATCAATGAACTTTAGAAACTATAATATATTGTAATACGAAAAGCAACAAAGATATAAAATAAAAAAAGGCAAAATTTGTCTCCCAGGATATAATGGGTTTCGTTTCTTATAAAATGGTATTGTAATTATAAGAAACCAGTGAACAAACTAGTTTAGAGTAACCGCAACTATATGCATGTGCATTTAGATAGATTAATTAAAAACTAATATATTCAATCCCCATAAATCAAAACAACCAACAATTATATATAGACAAAGAAACATGGATGAAAAGGTGTAAGTAATGAAATGACACAATTATCCATTATAACTACTAAAGAGTTAATAAAATAACACAACTATTCACATTAACAATTATCAATGAAAAGTTACAATTATCCAAATATACAATCCGATATTCATACAAATTATCATACAACACGACTCTACATTAGGTAAGTAATTCTTCATTAATACAAAAAATATTTACAGAATAAATATCCAACAGTAAATACCAAAATAAGGTTTTGAACTTTAAAACCTTTTGAGGAAAAATTTCGTGAGATAATAACGTAGTGAAGGAAAAAGAATCAGTTGGGACAAAGGCAGGGTCAAAAGAAATAATAGTATAGCGCGCATTTTCTCCCCTTCAAACCACGTGTATTTTTTTTAAATGGATGAGAAATACTCTAACCGTACCTTAACTTTCACGGTTTTTTGATCTGATATTTGCAGGTCAGATATTTTAATAGTAAAAGGGGAAGTATAACAGATCCTCACCTATAAATTGTTTCATGTGAGGATTGAATCCCTAATCTTAAAGTTAAAAGGTGTATTTTTTCCCACTAAGAGCGTGTTCGGAAAAATATAATTGTGAAGGTAGCTGTCAGTTGTGTAGGTAGCTGTCACTCTCTCAATTGTCAACAAGCTGTTAGCTGTGAAGTTAGAAAATTTAGGTAAGAGTGTTCAGTAAAGTAGCAGTTGACTAGATGTTACATTTAAAAATCAATATTTCATATTTAATACTATAGATAAAATTTTCAATAGATACCTCAAAAGCTACCTCTAATTTCAAAAGCTAATATTTCTAACTTTTCTTAAAAACTACCATTACCACTAAAAGCTACCCAAACCACTACTTTGCTAAACACTTAGAGCACCCACAATGGTGGGGAGCACCCTCCCGACAACTTTCTCTCTCTCTCTCTCCTCCATTTGAGCTACCTCACCATTGTAGGAGGTGACTCATGGGTAACCCATAAGTTGGGGATGCCCTCTCTGGCGGGTCACTTGACGCCTCAACCCACGTGAAGTTGAATGTTGCGTTTCATATATTTTTGCCATTTATTGCTGAAAAACAATACCGTTTGATTGTTTTTAAAAAAAAAATTGAAATTTCTGACGTGCCTCAGGGAGGACGCAGTCCGCCAGATTTTCGCCATGTGTCCACTTACTTTTGTGTTGATTAAATTGAAGTCGTTGATTTTATAGTTGTTGGAGCTTATATTTTTAAATGAATTTTATCTCTTAAAAAACTTTCAACGGTAATAAAAAAAAATCTGCTCTGAATTAAAAAAAATAAAAATAAATAAATAAATAAATAAATTACCAACGACTTTCTTATATTTTTGCCTATAAAAAGAGACCAATATTGCCTATGTTATTCACACTCAAATTTTTTACCATCCCTCTACTAACCCACAAAAGATAAGTTATATATTATCTAAACCTAAAAAAATAATAGTAGTCCTAATTATGGATCCTAATATTCCTAATAATCAAGGAAATAATTTCTACTCCCCACATAACCCAAATAATCCAAATTACCAAATTAGTTCCTATTCTCCAAATTTTCAAGCTAATCTCCACTTTGATCCAAATGGTCTTGCTAATCCAAATGTTCAAAGAATTTTATATTATAACATTCCTAACCGACCAATTATAAATCTTAATTAGCAGTTTCCTAACCAGTTTCAACAACAATTTCCTAACCAATTCCAACAACAATTCATGAATCAAATTCCCCAAAATTTTTCTTCTGGTTTAATGTTCCCAATGTCTCAACACGTTGGAAACCAAGTGGAGAACAGTCCAACAACTCCCGGGGGAGATGGAAGTAGCAACAAAACTCCTCCTGAAAGAAATGTCAATGATGATGAAAATGACGATGATGACGTTGATGGTGAAGATCTGCAAGATAGCAACACCACCTCGTCAAATGCAAAGTGGGGTGCACAAGAAGACGATGCACTTGTCTCAGCTTGGATAGAATGTGCGAATGAAGATCCGGAGACAACAACTGATCAGAGATTGGCTATGATGTGGAAATCCATATATGATTTGTATGAGCAAGCTAGGAAAGACAATTCTTCCACTATCCGCCGCAGAACCTTGAGAGCTATGAAAGGTCGTTGGGGTAGAATAAACAAAGATGTAAGCCTATGGGTTGGGTGCTATGCTGCGGCACAACGTAGAAATGCAAGTGGTACCAACACTTACAATGTCATGACTGAAGCTCAAGAAATGTATAGTGCATCATGTAACGGAGCCCAGTTCACTTTAATCAGTATATGGGATGTGTTAAAAAAATCTGATAAATGGAGGCTAACAAACAAGCAAGTGCCGAATACTAGTGAAAGTGATAGCTCCAAAAGTTCAGATCCAGATACTCCAACGGAAGCAGGTCGGCGTGGACGTCCAGATGGGGTGAAAAAGGCAAAAAGAAAAGATAAATCTGTAGCTAGTTCTGGAATTAGTAGTTTAGATTCGTTTACTCAAGCCCTATTAGAGATGAATGTGATGAAAGAACAATACAAAAGTGTTGATGAGAAGCGAGCTGATGTAGCGCAACAAATGTTGGATTATCAAAAGGAGCGAGATGTTGAGAAGAAAAAAAGGAAAAGAGGTTCAAGTTATTTAGTGTTCTACTTGCAAAACCAAACCTCTCTGAGGACGACCAACAACTATTTCAGAAATTGAAAGAGGAGTTCAGCCACCTTTTAGGCTAGTTATTCATGTTGTTAGTTTAATATTATTTTAAGTTAGTTTAAGCTTCTTCAACGTTTGCCTTAATTTATGTTGTTGTTCATTTTGTATGATTTAACAATTGTTTTTAGAGCATATGTAAAACTTGTTTTAATTAATGTTATTTAAATATAATTGAAGTCATTGACTTGTCAATGAAGAAACTCTTTAATCTCATCTTCTAGAGATATGTGAACAAACATTGGTTTGCAGTGGGATGGAAATCTGCAAACCTTATCAGTAATCTCATCTTCTAGAGTTACGTGCCTATATAATAATTCATAATTGGATAGAAATTAGGATATATGATCAGAATGATCAGAACATCTCATCATCTAGAGTTGTGTGCCAATACATGCTTTGTTTTGTAATTGGATGGAAATCTGAAAACCTTATCAGAAATCTCGTCTTCTACTTTTTTGTGCCCATACATTATCTCATTTGTAATTGTTTTTAAATCATTTACAAATTTCTATATCAGGCCTATTCACTTTGTAGTTCAACACACAAACAAAAATACCCTTCCTCACAAAATAATCTCACATTAAACACTACTTTTACCATATATAAAAAATGAATTCTGACTTAAATTCATGTAGTTTATCAAGTTCAGGTATTTTCGATTATATGGTGAACGACTATGTTGAGTGGCATGAATCAATTACTCAGAGGCGTAAGGAAGAGGAATTAATTGAGGAAGCGATCAATTCAGCTGTTGTCCCCCTTGTTACCTCTACTTTTCAGGTCCCATTCACTCCCAATCCAAAGAAGCAAAGGTGGTACGTACCAAGAGATCGTGAAGATGATGATACACGGTTATATAATGACTACTTCAGTCCCAAACCACTTTATAATGACGATATGTTTCGTCGAAGATTTCGCATGCGTAAACACGTTTTCACGCGCATTGTTGAGGAGCTAAGTGAAAGTAACGAATACTTTCGACAAAGGGCTGATGCCACTAGAAGACTTGGTGCTTCGTCTTTTCAAAAATGCACTGCGGCAATGAGGATGTTGGCTTATGTTATAGCAACCGATGCAGTTGATGAATATCTCAAAATTGCGGCAAGTACAGCAAGAGATTGTCTCCAACACTTTGTTGAAGGGGTTAATTGTTAAATCATACAAAATGAACAACAACATAAATTAAGGCAAACGTTGAAGAAGCTTAAACTAACTTAAAATAATACTAAACTAACAACATGAATAACTAGCCTAAAAGGTGGCTGAACTCCTCTTTCAATTTCTGAGTACCTGAGGAGGGCAACACCTTTAGATGTAGAGCGACTTCTTTGTGAAAGTAATGTTCGTGGATTCCCCGGTATGTTGGGGAGCATTGACTGCATGCATTGGGAGTGGAAAAATTGTCCACGTGCATGGAAAGGAATGTACCAAGAAGTAAAACTGCGACCATAATTTTAGAAGCTCTTGCTTCCAAAGACTTGTGGATATGGAATGCTTTTTTTGGCACACCTGGTTCACTAAATGATATAAATATCCTCCAACGGTCGCCAATGTTCGATGATATTTGTGAAGGTCGAGCCCCAGAAGTGAGTTTTAATGTGAATGGAAATAGATACAATATGGGATACTACCTTACAGATGGTATATATCCAAAATGGGCAGCATTTATCCCAGCCATCAAGCTTCCACAAACTGCTAAGCAAAGATTATTTACGAGGAAGCAAGAAAGTTATCGCAAAGATGTTGAGCATGCCTTCGGAGTGTTACAAGCTCAATTCGCAATAATACAACCAGCTCTCGCATGGTCGACAGAAATCCTATGGGAAATTATAATGGCATGCATTTATCATGCACAATATGATTGTTGAAGATGAGCGAGAGAACTATTTGCATTACGATGCATCTGAATTTATTACTGATCAACCTCAAAATATAGCCGGGTCTTTAAACCAAGATATTAACCAACCATTCACTGTGAGAGAAGGACGACTACGTAATCTCAGTTTAGCGGGTTACATGGAAAACATAAATAATGTCCGAGACAGGGAGACTCATGTGTCATTGAAAAAAGACTTGGTTGAGCACGTATGGAGTCTTTTTGATAATGAATAACGATATCAAGTAGTCGGATAATTATTTTCTTATGTAATGTTTTTTTTTCATTGTTATGTTTTCCCATGTTCTTTTCAGTTCCGTAATGAATTAAATGTGATATTGTTATTTTACGAGTAATAATATTTAAGTCTTTAATATATTTTTTTAATAATATTTAAATTAATCATGTCATTATTACGAATACTTTGATAATTATTACTAAAAATTATTACGTAAACTAAATCAATGACAAATTCAAGAACTTATAGATGTCATTAGTTCGACTAATATGTTTATTAGAAGAATAATTAAACATAAACTCCATTGGTAGGAGAGACAAAACATGAAGAGGTATTGATAAAAGTAGGAGAGAGAATGGTGGGTGTAGACACCTAAAAATGTCTCCCCAAAACCAAACCCGATGATGAACACCTTTCATCACCATTATTGATCGAGTTGAGTATTTAATCTTTGGAGTGATTAAATCCATGTTCTATCCAATATATTTCATGAACCAATCCTATTTCTAGCTCATTTCCATAAACCATAACCTATTTTTCACTTTTCGTGTCCACATCGCAAAACCGAGAGAAATCGACTTTATGGCTATATAATTTTGATCAAATTATTATTATTTTTTATAGTCCTTGAAATAATCTTTCCAACCATATATCATAAGCCCAATTCCGAGCTATAACGAAAAAGATATGAGCAAAACTCTAAACTCGGCCCAAAATCGACACCCTTCCACTAAAACGGCCATATCTCAAAATATACAAATTATTTTGACCTGATTCTAATTGGGTTGGAAAGTAGACTTGATAAGATTTCCAATGATATATTATATGCCTTATTCTGAGTTATGGATCAAAAGTTAAAATGATTTTAAAAACGGGTAAAAAAAATTGGAATCACCGCGCACAGTGCAAAAGCACCGTGTCACGGGAGTGTGCCCCGTCTGACGGTGCCTTCCCCCTTCTGACGGTGGCTGGTGCCGTGACACGGTACTGTACATCGTGTCACGGTGCCATTTTTGAAGCTTTTTCGCGTCAAATTCCACCGTGGCACAGTACCTGTTACCGTGACACGGTACCTGCTGCCGTGACACGGTATTTCTCATGTCACGGTGCTTTTCCAGTGTAATTTCCGCATTTTCCCATACTGTGACACGGTGTACTGTACCGTGCCACGGTGCCATTTTTGAAGCTTTTTCGCGTCAAATTCCACCGTGGCACGGTACCTGTTACCGTGACACGGTACCTGCTGCCGTGACACGGTATTTCTCATGTCACGGTGCTTTTCCAGTGTAATTTCCGCATTTTCCCATACTGTGACACGGTGTACTGTACCGTGCCACGGTGGACACTGCCATGTCACGGAATTTTTCTCGTGTCTTTTCCGCGTAAACCCTTCACGCGTTTTCACTACCCGTAGGTCAAATATTTCCCATGTCACTCCAGTTGTCCACCGCGTCACGAGATTTTCCCCCGTCTAACGGTGCCTTCCCCCATCTGACGGTGCCTGGCACCGTGTCACGGTGTTTTCTGCCGTGTCGCGGTGTTAATTTTTAGGGTTTTTTTTTTTTTTTTTTTATCTTTTTAGGGTTCCGTGTGTTCCCTCTACTCAATTTCCCTATAAATAAGACCCTCATTTCTGCAGTTTGGGGCATCAAATCCTTCTCTCATTCTCTCTTTTACACCAAAAATTATTATATTCTCTCTCTCCCATATTCTAAGCTTTAAACCTATATTCCTAATTACACCATTCTTCCCTTAAGCACTCCAAGGAGTCCATACTTAACCCGAGGTTTCGTCCTTAAACCAAGGCATGAAAGGTACACATAACTGAGGGTTTGGACCAAATCAATTCTACTTTTTATTTAATTTAATTTCTGTTTGATTTATATATTTTATTGAAGTTACTAACAATTTATTCATGATGTAGCGATTTAAAGTAACGCGCGGAATGTGAGTAATTAATTAATTTAATTACTTATTTTATTTTTAATATTGCTAATATCATGATTAGGTTTATTATTATTTGATTTGACTAACACTATTATTGTTGAACTGCTTCCAATATTAATGTTTATTCTATTATTTTTATTGATCACCATATTGCATGTTTAAAGGAAATATGTAATTGAAAATCACGCCTAATAAGATAATTTGGACAACCGATTTAGGTTCCTTTTAATCTTGTTATTTAATTCAAGTGATCAAAAATATTTTAGAATTATGTGTTGCATTAATATTTAACCAATTTAGCCTAATAATAGTTTGGAGCAAATTCAATATTTTGTTTGTATGCCTTTGAGATTGTAGGAATCATTTTTCACTATAAGAATCGAGTAGAGGCCAATACGGGCGAATGTGACTCCATAACTCACTTCGTACCATCATCCTCGATCCTCCTTTCGTGCATCCGAACCACATGGAGTTAGTAATCTCATGGATTATGAATGGGGTGTAACCTTCACGGCTCAATCGTTGTTGTCTTTCGTTGTCCCTTAATCGTGGTTGCCTTTTATGATCCGTGAACGGTTTACAAGTTCCTTAAAAACTTGTTGGCGGCTCCCTACTTTCCTTGTCCCTAATCGTATATGTTAATTCTCACTTTCTATGAGTGTCAAGCATATTCACACATGCTTTAACGTAGGTACACTTCGAGCGACGCCTACAATGGAGTTACTCACCATTGTAGGAAAAATAAAGAGAGTGACTCAAGATAGTGGAATATGATGTGGAGGGGGAAAAGTAGGGAAGAGAAAATTGTGAGCCACCCCACCATTGTGGGTGCTCTTACATTTTTTTTAAGTTGTGGTTTGACCAAACCACTAAAAGCTACTCAAATGCTAACACCGAATATGTCCTAAACCAAGCTTAGCTTAATGAGCGGAGGAAGTAATTGTGTCCTAAACCAAGCTTAGCTTAATGAGCGGAGGAAGTAATTGCATATTTGCATACATACACAATCAAATGGACCAAATTTGAGTCTTTATCAATATAATCAGTGAAACTAATCCGAGAAGAAAAGAGTAAGAAGATAATTGGAGCCTTGTGAGCAGCTGTGGCCGCCTATATCCAAATAAAGGGATATACTTTGACGCGGTGACCCCCTGGTTTTATAAAGCTTTACTGTAAAAAAAAGAGATGAACCTATAAGCTTAAAGACAGATAGATGTGGGCCTTACAATTTGGACGACATTTCATTTCATTCCCTTTCATTCAAAATTGAACGCAACAATAATAAAGTTGGCAGTATCATATCATCACTTCTCACTCATTCACACACTCCTTCACTTTGCAATTATTAATTCATTATCCCACACGGTTACCCATTTCTTGTTTTTGGGTCGGATCCCATTTTCTCTCTCTTCAGGAACACTTCTTTTCTGGGTTAGTCTTTTCCTCACTTCATTTTTAGTACAGTACTAGTTTTGGCTGTTAATTTGTTTAATTTCAGATTTATGCTTGTTTTTGCTAATAATGGTGTTTGTTTTGGTTTATTTTTTCATATGTGTGTTTGAATGGTCACTGTTTTGCTTTGATTTAAAAGAAAGCTTTTTTTATTGTGGGGTTGAGGAAATAATTTGGTTTCAATTTTGTCCCCTTTAATTATTTGAATTTGATTAAAGTGATATCATGAATTAGAATTAATTTGAAGTAAGTTGGATAGTAATTATGTTGCATTGTCAAAGTTGTTCATTTGGCTCAACTAGTGAACTAGGTAGTAATTTCTGTTTGTCATGAAATGCCATTGAATTATTGATTTTGTCAAAGCTCGTTTTCATAATTTCATTATATTATGTCCATAAATTTATGGGTTTTACCAATTTGTTGAACTTGAATGCAACACTTTGAGCCCCTGGGTATTCTATTGCCTTTGTTGGATTTTAGGATATGTTCTGGTATGTTTTCGAAGAGATTTGGGTTGATAGGAATAAGTTAAATTCGATCCATTTTCGTGTTTTTGTTTATGAGACATGTAAGTAGTTTGCACTTTGTAGTTACATATACATTGGCCCTACAAGTAAAAACACCTGTGGTTGGTATTCTGCAAGACTGTGGGTAGGCATTTGAGTAGTTAATAAGGGTCATATATTGGCAAAGTGACTGTATTAGGGCATAAATCATGTTTTTTTATGCGTTACCTTCACATTTATGTTGTTGTTGCATACTAAATTCAATTTGTTTTTGGTATGCTTGTGTAGGATGGGAGGTGGAGTGAAAGAGTCCTGGTTTAGTAGTTTATGGGGGATTTCGCGAAGAAATGGTTCGCATTCTGAGAAAGCTGTAATGGGAATTCTAGCTTTTGAGGTGTCAACTTTGATGTCTAAGGTTGCTAACTTATGGAATTGTTTGAGTGATAATCATATATCGCAGTTGAGGGAAGATGTTATTAACTCGCCCGGGATTGTAAAACTTGTATCAGATGACGAAAACTTTCTCATGAACCTTGCTTTTGCGGAAATCGTTGAGAATTTGTGGTACGCTGCACACTCTGTCACTAGGTTAGGAAAGAAATGCTCTAATCCTGTATATCATTGTTTGGACCAACTTTTAAGCAGCCCTCTTGAGAACTCTACCGAATTGTATGGATGGGAATATAGATGGAAGAAGATGGAGAAGAAAGTTAAGAAACTGGAGAGTTTTGTTGCTGCTACTTCACAATTGCATCAAGAGATGGAGGTGCTGGTGGAGCTTGAACAAACATTGAGAAGAATGCAGTGCAATCCAGAAACCAGTCGAGTAAAATTGCTTGAATTTCAGCAGAAGGTCATTTGGCAGCGTCAGGAGGTGAAAAACTTACAAGAAATGTCCCCTTGGTCTAGGACATATGATTACATAGTGCAGCTTCTGTCAAGATGTCTAGTTACTATAATTGAGAGGCTTAAATTTCTGCTTGGAATTAATGAAGTGATATATTTGGACAGAAATCACACGACAGGGCTTCAGCCTACAGCTGGATCCCTGATACGGAGTCGATCATTTGTACAATCTTCTGTTTATCCCTCTGAAACTCATAGCTCTATCTTTTATTCAGGACCTTTGGTTAGATCGAGCTCTTTACTGGGATTGCCAACCAGAAGTAAGAGAGCTAGCAAAAGGCAACAGAGACAGACTCTTCAGAATGAACATAATCCACACAAAAAGTTCCCATTTTTAAACACAAAACGATTTGCTCAATCAGGGCCATTTAAAGGATGCATGATTGGTGGAAGTAATTCTCCAGTAGTTGAGAGCTGTATGCCAACAAGCAGTGGGCCTTCAAGTTCCGCAGCTATTGTGTTGAGTGATGTGGATGGAAAATTGAACAATTTGGATCCTTCTTCTCATGACAGCACATTTCCCACAAGTAGCTCGGTTTATCTTTCACAGTGTATATTGTCAAATACTCCTCCATTTTCTCTGGGAAGTGCTGCCTTAAGTCTCCATTATGCAAATATTATTATATTAATTGAAAAGCTTGCTTCATCGCCTCACCTGATTTCCCATGATGCAAGGGAGGATCTGTACGATATGTTAACAACAAGCATAAGGAGCATGTTGAGGGCTAGACTAAAACTTTACACCAAATCCTTTGCTTCCTCAGCCTATGATTCTGCCCTTGCTACGGAATGGAGTCTGGCTATAGCAAGAATGTTAGAATGGCTTTCTCCTCTTGCGCATAACACAGTTAGATGGCACTCTGAAAGGAATTATGAGAAGCAGCATATTGTTTCCCGTGGGAATCTTCTTCTAGTGCAGACTTTGTATTTTGCAAATCAATCAAAGGCTGAAGCTGCAATTATCGAACTTTTGTTGGGTTTGAACTATCTATACAGATTTGGCAGAGACGTGAATGAGATGGTTTTCTTGGAAGCGAATGGTAACCGAGTTTATGATGAATATGCAATTCAGGCAGATACTATTGCTTGCAATGCTTGATAAAATTGGGGCAGACCTTCTTGGTTTATCTAATGATAGTGGTACACATACAGAGAAGTGCTGTATTTTTGGAAGCTTCACTATAAGTTGGTAAAGGGCCATGCCGGACTCAGTTGTATGGAGAAACCTTTGTTTCACATAACGAGGAATCCATCAGAAATAGCAGATGAGTTAACCATCTTTTTATACAATAGCTATACATTGTTTAACTGTATCTTAGATTGCATAACTTGTTCTTCTCCCTTCTTCTTGCCAATCTGTAGCCATCATATTAGACTGTTGTAAAGCATAGTTTATATTTTACATGAGATGTGTGATGTGTAACCTCAGAATTTATGTTTGATGTCTTCTTCCTTTACATCCTTTACTTGTGTAAGTATCAGTCTGGCTTCTACTATGCAGATTTTCATCTTTTCTGCTCTTATCTTGTCAAATTCAGTTTATTTCTCATTTGAATATATATATTTTTGTTGGTTGAATGTTTTTAATGTGATGGGTAAAACAGGCTGATTTTTTTTGTTGGAAGGTGGAGATGGGGAGAAGGCCACATTTCATTTGATAGGAATAGAATGTCTTTTTAATTTTCAAACTCGGATGTTGAGTGGTGGTTTTTGTTTCTGTTGTAGACCTACATCATATAAGGCTTGTTCCACATGCCATCTCAGTTTTAGCGTTCAGTCCTTTAGTGGTTGTGCTGAGGCAAAAATGCCTTCTGTCTGGTGATGGTATAATGAGTTTTGTGAGCTGCCTTGTAGGTTTACATGTCCCAACTTTGACTGCTGTTTTTAGTACTAAGTTTTTGCTGATGAAGACCATTATGGTTCTCATTAAGAGAAGTGCATTTTTCAGATAGCTACTCATCTTTGTTGTTGGTCTCCTAGCTGTCTTGTTCTTTGGTTGGTTTAGTTTTGGATTGTCATGGACCTGAGTGTTTCTATAAATACTTTTTTTTTTTAAAGAATGTTTCTACTCATACTTTGTATATTATAATGTCTTTGGATAATTGTGCTTGAAGGGAAAGAAAGAGGAAGTGTATTGACAGATCTAAATTTCTGTATTTGGATATTTATTGGGGAAGAGAAGAAGAAAGAAAATTCAAGGGGAAATACAAACCTACTTCTCCCATCCTTCTCCTCCCTTTCCGTCAATTATTAACCAGACATACTATTTGTTTATGGACCTTAAGTGTATTAAAGTTTGTTGCAGAGAGCTCTGAAGCGGAAATGTCTTACAAAATTACTAGAATTACTACATGCCCCTAATTTTATCTTTTGAAATGTAAATGCCAACTTTCTTTATCTGCTTGATAATTATGTGAAAGATCACTTTTTTTTTAAGGGAAAGCTATAAGCCTAAAAGAGCATTATGTTTTTGCCTTTTACTTTCTTTATAAGGAAGAAACCGTAGACATGGTTTAATAGAACAAAGGGAGAGGAGTTGGTGCAAACAAAGTCTTATTATGTGGAATGAAAACTAGTAAATGTAGACCATATCAAGGTAGACGGATAATTCTCAATTTTTATTGTTATAACTTGCATCTTCAGCAATTTCGACATGTTTAAATTTGTAGCTTACATAACTCAATTAGATAGGCTCAGCACTTATCCCCTGTCAAACCTGTGATTGCCTAATTTATTACTCTTTTGATCCTAAATTGATATTCACACATGGAATTGTCACGTGACTTGAAAACCATTGTTAGAAGTAGAATTAAGATTGGATCGGGTAGAGAAAGAAAAGGCAAGAATGTTAGGAAAGGGTGTAAGAAGAAATGAGAAAAGTGTATATTTTGTTCTTTTTTGATGTTCCATACTCCTTTTGGGACTCGACGAGAGTTTGATCGTTACAGAAATGACTCATTTCCTGGTGCAATTTAGTTAGACATAATACTTCCTCGGTATCACTTTCAGCTGTACAAGTTTTCGTGCTGTCAACCTGATCTTATCCTCCCAATCAATTGTATCAGGGGGCTTTCAACTCTCTAGTTCCAGTCAAAATTGCGCAGTAGAGCACCTGATCTGAGATTTAACATTATTATGAGCTAGCAGATTCCTTGTACACATTCTTCTCCCTGCTCCAAAGGGTAGTAGTTCATATTGCTGCTCCTTTATTTTATTCTGTCATAATTTTACCCTATAAAACTCTCAGGCTTGAAGATAATGGATCATCCCAGCTTTCTGAGTCTTTCAATTCCGCATGTATTCACAAAAAACTTGTGTGCTACAGAAACCTCCTTTCTTGGTGCAAGCCTACAAGGAATGGGACTAGAGGATGTAATCAGAGAATTTCCTTGATCACTGCCTGTAAATATGGGAGATCGTTGATATCAGCCTCTTTCAACTGTCTTTGTTGTTCTACAATATGATAAAATTCCGATTACTTTAGGCATTGAATTGGGGTTTGCAAGGAGCTTTGTCATTGCCTTCTATTGTACTGGATTTTAACTCTACCAGCCATGAAATACTCCTGTAAGTCTTGTTTCACCAGTGTATAGTGGAACACTGAAAAAACTGAAGTTATGAAATTACAGTTTATTGAAGGCCTACATGTCTTGTGTATAAATGTATATTAAGTTGATAACCTTCCTAAGCTCCTAGTAATCTCAGATTTTTAGTACATGAATGTGTATAATTTTTTTTTTTTTTTTTTAACTTAACTTAGGATTTATAATTTCTATTTATTTAAAGAAATTGTAATGTCATTTTAATATTTTATGGCTCCGAACATAGTGTATATACTTTTTTCAAGGGTTAAAATTATATTGTACTCCATATTACTTTTTTTAGGTGTAAAAATTTTACTCCAATATATGCTTTTTCCTATTGCAAAGGGTCACTTTTTTTTTGGAGGGGTGAACATGTAAGAACTTTTTTCTTTTCCAAATCCAAGTGACCCAAATAGGGTTATTTACTAGTCCAAAAATGTATCGAATTAGACCATACTGAAGATTTATGATTTGAAATTTTAAAATTTAGAGAATGGACTAATTATGCTAGGATTAGATCTAATTGATTTGGATTTGAAGTAGAAATTCTATTTTGAATCTTTAAAAAATTACAACAATATGAAAAACCGAAAAAACAAAATGAAGAAAACTAATTGTTCAAGGCATATTTGAATACTTCATAATATAAAAACTTCCATGCATATTTGAGGATAAATTCACCTATTTTGAACGATTTGATACATAATTTTAATAAAAAAAAGGTCTAAAATTAGTTTAAAAAGATTTGGTATAGATTGGATGGAAGATAAAATGTTATAGTTTCAACTCAAGTATTATACATCCAATTTTCTAACTCCAATTGATTATAGCTCTATCTAATTGGTGAACACTTGCATTGCATTTATGGGAAGTTAATCTTCTGATTGATGAGCATGTTATATTACACGAAATACATACCATTTTTTATAAAGATGGTTGTGCGTCGAGTCCACATGCTTTGGGGTTAATTAGACCTTTCCCCAAATTTTTTAAAAGGTGAGGCCCATGCACAACTCAAACCCACATGCCATCGTACTAGGCAATGTTGTGCCTGCATGTCTATGTTGAATTATATTAATTTAGTTTTTTTTAGCGTGTATCTTATCAAGTAAAGGCGGCACATGCCTAACATAAAAAGCTTGACACATACAATAACATGTCGTGTCGTGTTGTGCCTACATGATATGAATTTTTTTTTACCATAAAATATGTTATGCTTTAGAGTAGCCTAACCTGGTGCATCTTTGATGTTACACGAATAATTACATTTTTTGTAGAATGGAATCCGTTTTTGTCCGATCCATTTTTGTCCGATCCATTTTTAGGTTTTCCGTTTGAATTGAAATTTATTGTAGTGGACTATTGAACTGTAGTCACTGTACACACTAACACACACTCATTCTTTCTCAAAGGTTCCTATAAAAATGAAACTTTTCAAATTCCAAATGCACAAACTGCATTTGCCCGAACACATTCTCTCAAAATTCAGAAATCCACATTTCATTACCGTTAATCTTCCTCACTCCCACACTCAAAATTCAAAAAATTGTCGGAGATGAAATCGGCGACGATGATGATGATGAGAGAGAAGGGAAAGTTCATCTATAAATTATACAGAGCAGTAACCTTTTCTCTAACTCCATTAATCCACCTTCATCTCCGATTTCGCAAATTCCGAGGTCTAGAACATTCTCTTCGATGGCCGGAGCGTCTCGGCCGCCCTTCTCTCAACCGCCCTCCTGGTCCACTTCTCTGGTTTCACGCCGTTTCTCTAGGTTTATTCTCTCCTCCATTGTTGTTCAAAGAATTAAACAAATGTTATTGTAATTGAATTTGGATTTTATTTTTTAATTTGTTGAATGAATGGATAGGAGAAGGAATGGCGGCGATTCCGGTGATTCGACGTTGTTTGACAGAACGACCTGATATTAACATTCTTATGACTACTACTACACTTGCTGCATTGTAAGTTTCATTCAAACCCAATTTATGTTTTGCAATTGCCTGAAAATCTTATTCTGCATAGTGAAATCTGATTTTGGTTATGATTTCAAGGTTAATTTTCTGAATTTTGTGTTTTAATATTCATTTTCGGAGTCTAATTGGAATGAATTTGTTCGAAATTTTGAAAGTCATTAAGAAGGAAACCATTTGGGTTACGGAGTACTAATTTTCTCAACTAATTAGTACCTTTTTTTTTTTTTTTCTTGCTCAATCAACAATAATGCAATACAAACTATAGAAATTGTTTGGAAATATACTAATACAACAAATAAAACTTTAAGTCATCATCTTTGCTTGATCCTGAAACCATTTGCCTTACAATATGTTTCTTGAAATGACAAAATTAACAAAAGTATTGGTCGTATTCCAAAGTCCAAAGAACTTGGGATACGATTGGAAGGATGGAGATGAAAAGGTCACAGGTATGAGTTCTTGGGATACGATTGGATGGATGGGGATAAAAAGGTCACGAGTAAAAATACCACGTAAACTATTTAATTCAAACCATTGGTCTAGAACTACAAGCAAAAAGGGGCTGGATGAAGGTGTGATCTAGGCCTATTAGCATAACAAGAGTCGGCTTTTCATGTGACATGGTAAACTTAAAATAGGAGAACACTTGTCTCTCTTTGAAGGAAGAGACTAAAGTGAACATGCTATGACCCCCCTACAAGAAAATTTGTCAAATTTGCTCATAGGTGATATGAATTAGATGATATATAATGCTACCTCTTCTTCTTCAATTTTTTTTTTTGGACAAAAGAGCTATCAAATAAAAAAACAACCAAAACAACAAATGTCAACCCAAAAAAAAACTAAAATAAAAAATACAACAACTGACGTCGCCGAGCACAACCAGCCAACCAATGAGCAGGAGTAACCCACATACGAGGAACCTTTTAAACATGACATACCAAAAGAGACCGAACACAAGCCCGCAATTCCTGGATAAGCCACCAAGCAGAAATTTCCATTGAGCCAGAAGGAGGAAGAAGAGTAAGGAGGGCAGCACAATCTGTATAAACCCGGATTTTTAAAAAACCTTTGCGAATAGCATACTCCAAACCCCATATACAAGCTTGAATCTCAGACTGCAACGTTGAACTTGCCATAAAAGCCCGACAACCACCTCCCAGAACCTCAGAAGAATGAAGATCACGGACTATCCAGCCTGCTCCCGCCCTATAAGTAGAGCAATCCCAGGCCCCGTCTACAATCAAACATGCCGTTGGAGAAATATAAGGTAACCCCCGCAGACACAACCACTTGACATCATGCCTAGCCTCCAAACTAACCGAACTAGAAGACCTCGTAAACCTCTTCCAATCTAGAGCCTGCATATTACGAATAACCCAATCTGACGCCAAACCAACAATTGACCCAGGCAACCAAACAGCATTCCTAAACCTCAAGTGATTACGAGAAGCAATGCCCTTCCAATTTCTTGATGACGAAAAAAGAGAAATTGTACCTGAGAACAAAATACTAAACGAAGGAAAGTGCATAAGATCCCATTGGATTCCCAACGCCCTAGATAACCAAAGACTACAGATAGCAGGACAATCCTGAATGTATGAGATACAGATTCCACATCCGCATGACAAAATGCACAAACTGGATCAACAGGGAGGCCTCGAGAATTGAAAGTAGTCGCTAAAGGAAGAGCGTCGTGCAGCAATTTACAACCAAATATTTTCCAACGAGGAAGAATTGGTTGTAAAAACTCCATCCCTAGTAAACTTCCAGTAAACAAAATCATCCATTAAACGCATAGGTCGATCCAAAGAAAGAATTCTAGCAGCAGAACTAGAATCAAACAACCCGTGAATAATAGTAGCATCCCACGCGCAAGAACGCGGATCAAGTAAAGAAGAAACAAGAGTCGGTCGAACCGACTTGGACGAAAGATTCTTAAAATGAATTGGTCCCCCCGGAACCCAAGAATCCTCTAAAATACGAACTCGAGAACCTGAACCAACCTTCCAACACAAACCCTTCGACACCAAGGACATCCTCGAAATAAGACCCCTACAACCCCAGGAGGGACGAGAAGTCGAGAAGGAGTTAGTAGAACAAAGAGTTGGATACTTCGCAGACGACAGAAGCCGAGAAACCAACAACTGAGGGCAGTGAATAAGTCGCCAACTTTGCTTCGCCAAGGGAAGAGTTAAAAGGGGAAATACTACGAATTCCTAATCCCCCTAAACCCTTCGGAAGATGGAGCAACGACGATGACCGAAGAGCCAATCCTCGATTAGAAGAAGAAGATTTCCACCTGGCTAACAAATTATCCATTCTGGAACATATAGATTCAGGAATTTTGAAAACAAACAGGATGTGATTAAAGGAGGCAATGAGCACTGAGTTAATAATAACAAGCTTAGCCGCCGGCGAAAGCCGGAGAGCTGTAAAGGCCTGTAGACGTTTGGCCACCTTATCCAAGAGGAACCAAACTCAGAGCATTTACTACGACCTAAATCAACAGGAAGCCCCAAATATGAACCCAATCTAGATTCAGATCGCATCTTTAAACAACCAGATAAGCTCGGTAATCCTCAGGAGTATTAGGACTAAACTTGACAAATGACTTTTGCAAATTAAGCATTTGACCTGAAATATCACAAAAAGCAGAAAGCACATTCAACACTTGTTCACAGGAGGAGAAACCTAGAAAAATAGCAAAGAGTCATCCGCAAAGAACAAGTGTGAAATGGTAGAAGCCCCCTAGCAATTTTAATACCCTGAAAAAGATCTTCCGATTCTGCCTTACGCAACATAGCCGAAAGAACCTCCATGCACAAAACAAACAGGTGTGGAGATAGCGGATCTCCTTGACGTAGACCACGCTGAGGACGAAAACCCTCTGTAGGTGACCCATTAACCAATACCTGGTATGACACTGTAGATACACACTGCATAATCAGATGAATCCAGTAGGGAGGAAACCCAAAAACCTGAAGAACCCTACACAGAAAGTCCCACTCAACTCTGTCATAAGCTTTATTCATGTCTAGCTTTAGGGCCGTATAAAAACGTTTCCTGGCTTTGGAAGCATTCATAAATGAAAGAATCTCGTGCACCATCGGGCAATTATCAGACATTAACCACCCGGAACAAAGGCATTCTGAAAATCTGAAACTATGTCTGGAAGTATCCAACGTAGACGACGAGCAAGACACTTAGCTATGCATTTATAAAGAACATTACAGAGTCCTATTGGTCTAAATTGAGAAACAAGTTCAGGGTGATCTACCTTAGGAAGCAAAACTAAGAATGTCCGATTCCAATCCTTAAGCAAATAACCATGAGCAAAAAAGAACTGGACAGCATTCACTTCCTGATCACCCACCTCACTCCAATAGGTCTTAAAAAAGGCTGAAGTATAACCATCAGGAGACTTCGCCTGCTGAAAAGGGGGTTAGCATGGACTGACGATGCCTATCAGACAAAGAAGGGAGCTGAAGGGAATCCCAAGGTAATTCAAAAGGTCGATCCAAATTCCTATTGTATAAGGACTTGTAAAAACTGAGAACCAAAGAACGAATATCCCCCGCATCCGAAACCCGGGAACCTTCATTGTCCTTAAGCCCCATAATAGTGTTCTTCCGATGCCGGGCCTGAACTACAGAAAAAAACAACTTAGAATGCTCATCACCAAACGCATCCCACTTCACTTTTGCTCGTTGTCTCCAAAAAAGAAATGCCGCTTCAGCCTTCTTTATTCTTTCCTTCCTAAACGTACTAAACAAACAACGACTATTTCGTGAATCAAGATTAAAAGAAGCATTAGTGACATCGGCAACCAAAGCTTTCCAATCAATGCCCCACGCCTTTTTATGAGAAACACACCAAGCTAGTAGACGATGACGAAGAACACAAAGTCTTTTTGATAAGGAAAACATAAGAGACCCAGGGATATGTTCAGCAAAAGTAGTCCGAACCATATTAACAACATCCTCAGAGTGTAGGCACCAGTTTTTAATTCTATAAGGACGTTTGTATCTATCAGAAGGCAAAGAGTCACTTAAAATAATTGCCGCATGATTAGAAAACAAAATGGGCTGATGATGAACAGAGGTAGCCGGCCAATTCTGAAGCCAATGGGAAGTAGCATATGCCTTATCTAATCTCTCAAAAGTGGGGTCCATAACTGTTCTCCCATTAGTCCAAGTAAAAGATGGTCCAGAAAACGGAAGATCAAGTAACCCATTATCCAATTTCCACTGTATAAAATCATGACGGCCAGGAATATCCAGATTACCTCTGGCCTTATCTGATAAATATTCAACCTGATTAAAATCGCCAACTAACACAACATTCGGGTAAGAGGCTAAATTATCAGAAATTTCCGACCACACATTCATACGATCAGAAACTTGAGGCGCACCATACAGAAAAAGGACATATTTTATAACCAAGTTCTCCACGACTCGACACAATATTATATGCGAAGAAACCAAGAGAGGGTCAATCAAAACTGGGGCAAACCACAACACACAAATCCCACCACTAAGACCCACCGAATCCATACCTACAAAACCTGAACATGACAAGGAAGATAATTTATGCATTACAGAATTTACAGACACCATAGTTTCAGCCAATAACATCTACACCACAAGAGCGGAATAAGGACGCAATGGAAGGAACTTTAGGGGAGTCCGCCTGACCCAAACCCCTACAGTTCCACGCCATAATCTTCATCTATTACCTGGTGGCCTTGAACGGGCGGCCACCGAACCCTCAGAAAAAGAACCAAAATGAGACACCTGTTGTGAAAAAGAAGTACCAATTCCTTTATGCTTCTTAAACGGGAGGCAGGATAAACTACTAGTAGCAACAATCTCCGAACCTTTTTCCCGAAAGCAGAACAGAAAATCCATAAAGGATCTTGAAGCCGATCCCTTCTTATAACACATTGATTCCATCCTCTGTAACGGCAAAGAGCATCGTGCTGCCTTTTTCATTGGAACTGACAAAGTACTAAATAAATTTGGCCGTTTAAGCGGGTAGAATCTCTTTTTGACCCTCGAGGGTCGAGGAGAGTGAGCAGGTTGGTAGGTTGGGTAGTAGTATTGGTGGGTGATGGTTGATAAGAGTCATAGCAAAGTTATTTTTTTCCTGGATCGTGTAAGGGATGCTTGTGGGTTGAGAGTTTAGGTTGGTTTGGTGTTTGGCATGATTCATTTGGAGTAAGGTCAATGTGTGTTGTTGTTTCTAATTGTGATTTCCTTTTTTTCACGGGTGAGAAAGATAGAGTAGTAAACTCACGAGGTCTTTTGAGGGGTTGACTACTCTGGGGTTAGGGTGGGTAAATGTTTTTAGAAAAGTTCTTAAGATTCACTATGGTTCTATTTTTTTTAAATTCTTTTCGGGCCAATATTTGAATTAGAGAGATTATGGGAATGTAAAATAGCAGGCTTACACAACCCATTCTTATCAACAACAAAAGGAGCAGGGCTATAATGATTCAAAGGGCAAGCATTCTTCTTATGGCCAACTCTATTGCAGTTAGAGCACAAAATAAACATATTCTCATATCTGAAATTAATCCATTTAAACCCAGAATGTCCAAGGTCCAAGTAAAATCCAGAAAATAATGGTTCCAAAACATGAAAGTGAAGTTTTACTCTAACCACACATCTAATTGATCCAGAATCAGGTTCATCGGAACACAAAATCTTTCCAGCCATAGTAAGTATTGAATTAACGACATTAATCTCACATAAGTTCAAAGGAACTTCATCAAGATGAACCCAAATAGCAACCTCGTCAAATTTCTCATCTCTGATTGACTTACCCTGAGTCCACGGAGTAAAGACCAAGAGAGCCGCTTGGTACGCCGCGGAACCTTGTTGTAGCATAGCTTCTCGATCACGAACGTCCTCACAAAGAAACAAGAAAATACTATTGAATTTCTGGACTTTAATTTCCCCAAAGGTAATCCTCTGGAAACCCACTTTTGGATTCGAGTCTCGGAGAAATTTCTGTAGTCTATGAACTTGCCCAGTACAAGATGATTGCGGAAACAGGGATTATAGCTTGTTGATGAGCGTCGCCGGCTCGAATGAGCGAATTTATTAACTGCAATCTTAAACAAAACAGGGGAAAATAAAAAAGGGGTTATGATTTTGAAGGAGGATCATCGAAAAGAACATGGAATTGAAGAACTAAAGTGGTTTTTTGTGAACTTTAATCTGATCCTAGCTTTTGTAATTAAAATTTGAGGTTTGTGAAGTCATGGAAGAGTTGAAAAACAGTGGAAGATGGTGGAAGGCGGTGGAAAAAGTTGGGGTTTTGGGGATGAGGCTCTAGTATTCTAGAGAGAGAAGCTCTCTTTTTAGAGAGAGAATGTTTCTTTATACTTTGAATTCTAGAAAAGTTGGTGCTTTCTTTATTAACTGCCTTCTTCTTCAATATTGTACCTAGTAGAATGTAAGGGCTAACTTTAAGGAGCTCATGTGATAAGGAGAGATTTAAATGTGTAGTGAGAGTTCATATGCGAAAAAAAGGCGTTGCTATAAACAAGAAACTTCCATACATAGAAATTTGCTACTACCTCCATTTCATATTATTTGCATCGATTTGACATAAAGTAAAGGGGAAAAATGTCTAAACATTGCAAATAATATGAAATAGAGGTAGTTATTAAAAAAAAAAATGGAGTAAGTGTTACAATCACTTTGGTAATACCCATGTAACTTGCAAGTATATTTTAAAATTGGTAGAAGTAACATTGCCTTTTTTTTTTTTTTTTTTTTTTTTACTTTGAGAATACATGTGTAACTTTCACGTGGCACAAATTACTTTAACATATTCACTTTTTTTTGGCTTATTTAACTTAACACTAAGATTGAATTTGCTGCTTGCTTGTGTTGCAGTGAGGTTTTGAAACACAAGCTCCCTCTAACCATAATCTATCAGGTATATCTTTTTATCCATAGTTTCATATGTGCTTTGTTATGTTTTAGATGGATGCCTTAAATAGTTTTTTTTTTTTTTTTTTTTTTTTTTTTTTTTTTTTTTTTTTTCAAAAAAGGTAAAAGTGTCTTTTAAATGACGTGGAAAAGAAACTAGATGTGGAGAAGATATATATTTAACAATTAACATCATCCATTGCTGTGTGATTTCTTTGATATGATGCATTACATAAAATGTTTTGACATATCTTAACTCTTGTTTGGTAACTTAATACTAGTAACCTTTACTATGGACAATTGTTTGACATTGACAAGCTTTAAAAAAAAATTCTATTCCTGGTAGGTTTGAACTTTTTTTTTTTTTTTTTTTTTTTTTTTTTTTTTTGACAAAAGCAACTAAACGAAAAGCTAAATAAATTGCTTCTACACCAACCCACAATATTATGCACTTTTGTTAGTTGGTCCCTACTTACTTTCCAAATAGTGCACATATCAAAGAGTCCTCCTTCCTTCAATAATTCCCCAATAGTCCAAAGTAGTCTCACCTCCCTACAATTAGGACAACGCAAAAGATGGATGAGAGCTATAGAGTCTGTGAAAATTGTAATGCGTTGATAACCTTTTAAGCGTGCCCAGTTGGTAGCTTTTAAGCAAGCTAACAATTCCGCATGTAAAGCCGAAAGAGCCATACCAAACTCTCCTCCTCCATCCAAGAAGTTGACAACATCAGATGAATATGCTCATCCAAAACTTGTGTGCCCCGTATTTTTCTTCCAAGACCCATCCAGCATAATAATCACCTCAAATATTTCCTTCTAGAGGGCTATGAGGGAGATCCTTCTGCTAAATCCTGCGGCTGCTCCCCCCTACTATCCAAATTGCGTAAGACCCCTTTAGATCGTATATTTGGTTTGAGGAAAGATTCAAGACTATTCATTGAGATTGAAATGTCTGTAGTAAAGATAACCCCTTTCATTTCTAAAGACTCTCCCATTCCTTGTTAACTAAAGACTCTACAATACTCTTTAAAAATATGTACCCGATCACTTTGTTTCCCATCCTCGCTATGAAAAAGCAGGATATGTTGCTGAATTCAGTGTCTCAAAGGAGTAGATTCATCAATTTTAGAGCTGATATGCAAAGCGCAATTCTTCCAAGCATACCTCGTAAAAGAGCAAAACCTAAAGATGTGTTGAATATCTTCTTCTTCCATGCCGCATGAGTCACAGTCTCCATCGATGTCCACCCCTCGTTGTATCAAGTTGACTTGATAGCCAAACCATTCATAACCAGTTTCCATAAAAATAAACTCCATTTTGGGGTAGGTAGGTTTGAACTTTGGAGTATAATCTATTAAAAAACCCTTCATTATTTTAAAAACAATTATTCGATGCTTTATCCTTGGAAATTTGTAATTGTAGGCAAGCTAGTTTGTATCTCTCATAATTAGCAGTCTAGAATCATTATATGTTTATTACTAAGAAATTTAAACCTTGATTAGTTTTTGTGGTCATTATTATCATATTAGGAAATCTTTGGATAGTTTCTTTAGCCAAAATGAGTTGCACTCTTGTGTTATGACAATATAAAGGGCTTTTTTAAGCACAGGAAAATTGTTGTAGGAGAAAAAGATAGAAGAGAATTGAACAAGTATTATTTAGATGCTTTTTTTCAAACAAAACTTCGATGACTTATGTTATTTCAAGGTCTCTAAGCTAGTCTCAAATGACGAGGAATTGCTGTGAAGGTAAATGAGGAAGACCAAGTACTCATATTATTGCTTTCATTACCAAAATCCTATGAAAATCTGGTTCCAACATTGATGCTTTTGGGTGATACTTTAACCATGGATGAGACTAGAACATCACTTTTAGCGAATGACCTTCGAAAGGTTGCTACAAGTAGAATGATGTCTTGTAATGGAAGAGAACACAACAAACAAGCTCATGGATTGTTTGCAAACAGAGGAAGGACTAATGATATAGAGCGAGGCAATGGAGGAAAGTTTAGATAAATATCTAGACCTCTTACCAAAAGGCCATGTTTCAAATGTGGTGAGCTTGGTCATTTTAAAGCTAATTGCCTAAATAAGAAGGTAATATTCAAGGAAAGAACAACGACAACTCCAGAGGAAAACAACATGAAAAACAAGAAGCTAGTTTTATCTCAAATGATGAGGATGATTATTGTATCTTAGTTTGAGAACAATGCAATGAGATATTCGGTAAATGGATCCTTGATTCAGGTGCATCTCACACCATATGTGCCCAAACAGGAAGTGGTTTATAGGAGTTTGGATGGTGGTATTGTTTTGATGGGAAACGATCATATTTTTAAAATTATCGGGTTAAATACTATCCAAGTCAAGATGCATTATAGAACAATAATAACCTTCAGGGATGTGAGACATATCCCATATTTGCGGAAGAACCTTATTTCTCTTGGATTATAAGAGAAAAATGGTTGCAAAATAGTCTTGGAGAATGGAGTTTTAAAAGTTGTCGGTGGTTCCTTGGTAGTGATGAAGGGAATTCGTCACAATAATCTTTATCCTCTTTTGGGGACAATTGTTACAGGTGATTTAGTAGTTGAAATTAGTGGAAGTAAAGACCAAACAAAATGCACGAGGATATGGCACATGCGTCTTGGGCATATGTCGAAAAAGGGTCTATCATTGCTTAGTGGTCAAGGTTTGTTAAAGAACATGAAAAAGCCATAAATGGAATTTTGTGAGCATTGTATGTATAGAAAAGCATACAGGGTGAAGTTCTCTACAAGCAAGCACAAGAGTAGAGGATTGTTAGACTATTTGCATATGGATGTTTAGGGTCCGGCTAAAGTTGCTTCCAAAGGTGGTTCCAGTTATTTTGTTACATTTGATGATGATCATTCTAGATGTGATTGGATTTATTTTCTTAAGCATAAGAATGAGGTATTCGACATTTTCAAGCGGTAGAGAGCAATGTTGAGAATAACTGGTCGAAAGCTAAAAACTGTACGGTTTAATAGTGGTACTGAATACACAAAGAGAGCTCCGTTTTATGATCTGGAAGGCATTGTGAGACACTGGATGGTCACAGACACACAACAATAGAATGGAGTTGCGTATAGATTGAATTGTATACTACTTGAGAAGGCAAGGTGTATGTGCTCTAATTCTAGATTAGGCTTGGTGGGCAAAGTCGGTTGCTACAGCTTGTTTTATAGTAAATCGATCCCCACATTCTTATTTAGATGGTGACACGCCTTATCGGGTCTGGTTAGGGGAACATGTAGATTACACGAGACTTCGAGTCTTTGAGTGCACGGTTTATTATCATGTTAGCTTGATGAAAGAGCCAAGAAAGAAGTTTTTTTGCGGTATCCAAAAGGGGTTTAAGGTTATCGTCTTTGGAGTGTAAAAGATTCTAAATTTGTGATTAGCATGGATGTGACCTTGGATGAAAGATCTATGGTAGCATTATTGAAAGCTATGGTACCTAATGCTGGTGATGTTGGAATGACTACAAATACTTAAGTGGTGGAGATAGAATCTAGAATGTTCAGGTGGAGCATCTTTGGTGTTTCTCAAGACGAGGAGGATGATCTGGAATGAAAGGTACTAAGTCAGTGGTGACTCCATGGGCTCCACATTTTAGGCTCTCTGGTAAACAATCTCCCACTACAACAACCTTATGCTAGTGCAGTAGGCAGTTTAATGTACGCCATGGAGAACTCGGGTAAAGCACATTGGGAAGCAGTGAAATGGATTTTACGGTACTTGAAAGATACCGTTGACACAGATTTTAGTGGAAATACATGTCAAACAAGCGGCTTTGTTGATTCGGATTATAGTGGTGATCTAGATAGAAGACGATCTACTATTGGTTATTTATTTAAGATACATGGTGTTCCAGTTAGTTCGCGATAACTGTTACAAGCTAGGCTACGGATAGTGTGAATCTAAATTATGACAACCATAGTGCTATTCACTTTGTCAAGAACCAGGTTCATCATGCTCGTACCAAACATATAGATGTAAGGTATCATTTTGTACGGGATGTCATAGAGAAAAGAAGTATTTCTCTTGTGAAAGTGCATACAAATGAGAACCATGCAGACATGTTAACGAATGTTGTGTCCGGAAGCAAGTTCCAGTATTGTTTGGAATTGCTTAACATTGTCCCATGTTAGGTTACATGAAGAAATAAGTGGAACTATGATTGGTTTGATCCCCGTCAAAGGTATGTAGTTAGTCATTGTAAAAACGGCTATTTCACCAAATGCCACCGAGTACTTAAAAAATTCATCAAATGCCATCAAGGTTTTCAAAATTCACCCAATGCCATCGAGCTTTTAAAAAATTCACCAAATGTCATTAATGACTAACGGCCGTTAACTCCGTTAGTCATTAAGATTAAATCATGACACGTGTCATAATATGATTGGCCATTTTAATTATTTATTTTAATTAATAAAAATAATTTTTTTTTTGTTCATTTTCGTGGCAAAAATTGTTCGGTTATAGTTTTGGGGGTCATTTTGTTCCTTTATGGATACAAATTAAGCTCGGAATTGACAAAAAAATAACGTAAATGCTCCGTTTTGTGTGTTGAAACATATTTTCATTAGCATGTCGTTATTTTTTAACCATCAAAATTGTTCGGGTAAGGTTTTAGGGGTCATTTTAACCCTTTATGGGTACAAATTAAGCTCAAAATTGACAAAAAAAAAAACGTAAATGCTTCGATTTGTGTGTTGAAAAATATTTCGATCAGCGTGTCTTTATTTTTTAATCATCAAAATTGATTGGGTAAGGTTTTGGGGTCATTTTGATCCTTTATGGTAACAAATTAAGTCCGGAATGGACTAAAAAATACTCTCTCCGTTTCATAATGTTAGTCCCATATGGAATCAATCATATGAAATAAGAAAAGAAATATATTTAGAATCTAACTTTAAAGTACAACATAATTCATAATTAGTTTACCTTATTTAACTTTTTTGATTTTTTATTAGGAAAGC